AGAATCAATTAGACACTCTCTACTTTTCATGTCATTTAAATAAAATATCACATTTTTAAATCCACCATCCGTAAACTTTATATATATAGCTTTTATAAACATTTTGTGTCAAAATTTGAACATCAACAAAAAGTAGTTTTCAAAATTTTGTTTTTATTTTTGAATTTGTAAATTTGAATGTCAACAAAAAGTAGTTTTCAAAATTTTGTTTTTATTTTTGAATTTGTAAATGTGAACATCAACAAAAAGTAGTTTTCAAAATTTTGTTTTTATTTTTAAAATTTGACTAAAAATTCAAATATGCCTTTAAGAAAGGTGAAAACTAACCTATGAAATAGTACCAAAAAAAAAACAATAACAATTTTTAAAAATAGAAAACTAAAAACCAAATGGCTGTCAAACGACTTCTTAAATATCTTGATAAAATTATGTTGTTTTTTTTTGTTTTCTATTTTTGAAAATTAAGTCTCACCTATATAGATCATCCAGTTTTTAAAAATTAAGCACAAATTCAAAAGTAAAAAAAAAATAGATTAACTTTTAAAAACTTTTTATAATTTTTTATATTTGAGTTTTAGCTAAGAATTGGAATATATTTTTAATAAAGGTGAATAATATATACCAAAGAATGTCGTGAAACCAAGCATAACTTTTAAAATTAAAAAACTAAAAACAAAATTGGTTATCAACCAATAGCGGCCTTGTTTAAAATGAATATAACTATAAAACTCTTTCTTTTTTTCTTTTGAATAATATATATTTGTTTTTTTCTTCTTTTGAGCTCAACATATGTATATAGAAAAGAAAACGAAATCTTGTTTTCTTCTCTAAAATTTGTGTTAATTTATTTATTATCTCTCATTAATCGATTGTAATCTCACCCATGGTGAAAGACTAGATTAAAACTCTTTTGGCGTCTAGAATTGGTTAGGATATTTCAAATAAAATGTTGACGAAAAAATTACTGAAAAGATATTTTATTGTTATGCTCTTATAATTAATTTTAATAAGGTATAATAATAATAATATATTTTAAGAATATTAGTCATGGAACAAAGAAAATCATAAAAAAGACCTTGCAAATATTTCCATTCAAATAAAAAATATTAAAGTAATTTGATGAGTGATGCATTTCAAATATTTTTTATGGTTTGGTGGTAATATAAAACATTTGATAATTTTAAAATTAAAATTTCAATCGAAAATATTTTAAGGAAAAACTGAATTTAAAATCATATATAATTTTAAATCTTAAAAGTTTATAATTCATCCGAGCAACAAAAATGATTACAAATCCTTTTTCATTCCTCAGAGGTTCAAAACGGATAAATTCAAAGAATTTATGGAATAAATTTATAGAGCAAAAGCTACGAAAATTTTAGGATTCGAGTCGAAAAAATATTAAAAATGGAATAGAATTCATCATTATTACTTAAGAGGAAATTTGAGGATGAGAAATTTAAAACAGTGAAGAAAATACAAATGGAATAAAATTCAAGAGCAAAAATAGCCATCGCCATTTCATGGAGCAAATTCGAGGATGGGAAATTTAGGCAGAGAAAAAAAAAAGTAAAAAATTATCCTCCCAAAGTTGGTTGCTCGATTTTGAAGAATTTGCGAAAAGCCTATCGTTTCTTTCCAATTAAATGGACCATAAAGTAGATCTCACGACATTGGACCCTCTCGCGTGTAATAAATTTGAACCATATAATAAAATAGATATCAACAAAATGCAATATACATGTATAAATTATGGTTTTCTTTGCCAATTTGAGTCAGGTTCAGACAGTTATATACGACCAGTTCTAAATTTGAATCTCCTCCCTTTGAAATATATGTTGTACTAATATAGTCTGATTCAACCAATAAACAGAAATAACCAATAAACAATTTGAAGTTTTTTTTGTCTTATTATAGCTAGTAATATTATTAATTTGCAAGAAATTAATTAGAATAGTGACGAAAAAGATCTTCACAATCTCTTCCTCAAACCTAATTTTAGAGAAGGGTCATTTTTATAACATCAATAGCCCTTGATTCCAACTATTGATCATATCCTTTTGAGGTACCCTCCATATATCTTATTCTAATTAGGGATGAGTTGTTGAATTAGGTTTAGAAAAATGAGTTGTAATCAAATAACCCTAGTTAGGTGGTGGATCTAATCTAATCTTATTTATGCAATATTTAAATTTGCTTTTAATCTTAATTATTTAAGATTATCAAAGTTTTTTTAGTACAATATGTTGGTAGGAGATCGAAGTCACGACTTTTTAGTTGGAGATATATGTCAATTATCGCTTAGCTATGCTCGCTTTGGTGATAAGATTAATACAAAAATATAAGCATTCTACCTTAAACCATAAATGCACAAAAACTGAATATATATACCTCTTTCTCCTTTACTAACCACGTTGCCAACCATACGTTTATACCATTATTAAAAAAAAAAACTACGAATAAAAGAGAGATAGAATCTAAGAGAAATAATTGAAGTTAATATATTTTGATTTTTAAAATAATAACCGGATAAAAAAATAAAAAACAAACCTACAAAACACAATTAGAAAAATACAAATGAACATTTTTCACTGTCAATAATCATTTGACCATTTTTCAAAATCAGGTGACAAATATGACACATACTATATAAATAGTCGAAAATCAAGGACCTAGCCCTATTATCCTCATCGACAGTTTTGATATCCAAAAATACGTGAATATGATATTTTTATATTATTATTAGTGACTAATTATGATATTTTTATAATTTAAGTGAGCTCGGGTTAAGTTAAATTATTATTAGTATATTTATATTCATATTAGTGACTAATTATGATATTTTTATAATTTCATTATATATTTATACAATATTAATATCGATTTATTTTTTATATTGATGTTGAAGCCACGTGTAGACAAGGATGAGGTGCTTTGTAAGGCTCCACGCCACCCTTTATCTTTGGTACCATTTGAATCTATATTATTTATTTATATAAAAAAATTTATATATAAATCAACAATTTGTTACAAAAGGTTACCATAGACAAATTCAATATTTCAAAATTAACAATAATCTAATTAACAATTTGTTCTATCCAGTAATTGTATGAACTATTAAGATTAATAAATTAAAATGCATGGATGAAGTTAAAACTAACACAAATGTAGACATAGGAGGATGAAATTAATATATAGTTTGATTTTAAATTTTTATTACAATCAATTTATATAATACAAAAATATAAATGACAACCACATTAGATTAAAAACTTCAACATTTTCATTTCTAGATAACTCAATTCAACTTTGTATAAATAAAATATATATTTCATAAGGTCTAATTAAATCTCCAAGATATTCCCACACTTCATTGTCAAAGACTTTCAAAGCCTAGATTAACTTGTGAGGTTCCTTTTAATATGAGCTGTTTGATTTTGAGAGCATGAAGAGAAATTAATAAATATATATAGGAAATAATTTATAAATCCTTTTATGGGGCCATCTACTTTAAAGAGTTATATTTCATTAGAAGAATAAAATATTTACCACATGTAAATCTTTATATTTTTATTTTTCATTAATGGAAAGACTTTCACACCAATATTAAGGGTTAATCAATATTTTTAAATATACCATATATCAATAAAATATAGAAAAAATGTCAACAAAAATATATTCAGTATGAATATAAGATTTAGGACCAGATACATTTTTTTTATCTCGAATTGGGTTCTATTGGTCCTTAAAGGCTTTGAAACTGATAGTCTAGGTCTTAGAGTTCTCGATTTAGTTTCTATTTAGTCTCACAGGTTTCAAAAATGACATTTTGATCTCCAAGTTCTTGATATTGTTTTTATTTAGTTTCTAAAGTTTCAAAATAGATACTTTTGTCTTTGAAGTTTGGATTTGATTTCGATTTGATCCTTAAGTTGAGTTGAGCATTTTTTTTTCTTTTTAACTTCGAGTTCAGCATTTGTTGACTTGATGAAAAGATAAGGTGATAGATAGTTAACCTACTAAAGAGAGTTTAAAGAGAATGAGAAATTTTTTGTTTGAATGCAAGGTCACCAACTTCTCCAGAGACATCTACAAACTAAGTTAAGAAAGATACCGTGAACCTAGGAATAATATTGTGACATGATGTCAATAATCTACACCGACATGTGTTAACTACATACCCATGTCACCTTTCGATTAAGTCAACTCAACTCAACTCAACTTAGGAATCAAATAGAATTTAAATTCAAATCTTAGTAGCCAAAAGTATCACTCTCCAAATCTTATAGACCAAATAGATACAAAATCTCAACTTTAAGAATAAAAAAATATCATGTTTGAAACCTCATAGATCAAATAGAACACCTAAATTCAAACTCCAAAACCAAAAATAGCAATCTTAAACTTCAAGGATCACATAGAAATGAAGTCTAAATGTCAAGCACTAAAATTGTAATTTGCCCCCAGATTTACCATTTACCACTTATTTAAGAGGGGTAAATTAAGAAATCAATTTTATAAATATCTTAATTTCTGAGTTTTTTTAATATAATTTGCGGGATGAAAAACTCGGACTCACAGTCTTTTAGTCATTACCTACCTTCTTTAACCACTTCAAGAATACTCGGGTTACTAGTTTCTACAAGTTTTTGTACCATTCATAATTTCTCTTATAAATTCAAGGTGTGAATCCTCACCCATAATTGGAGTAATACTATATTCCCACTTTTTTGGGAAATTAGACATTTTCATCTACATCTTTACTTTAATCAATCTTCAACCCATCAACCAAAATTTCAAAAGCTAGTTGGTGAAGTTGCCCTCAAAAAGTCCACAAAACAACAAAAAAATGAATTGCAAATCAACCATCATTTTGTCAGCCAAGAAGGACCCATTATTAGTTCTCCAAATCTTTTTCCTTTTTTCTTTAATCTCACAAGACTTTGTTTGATTTCATAGCAAAAAATCAAAATGTCTCTGATTCACATCGCTCCAACTCAGCCCGTGAGAAACAGAGAGCGACTATTAAAAAATCTGGCCATTGACAGGTGAACGATAAAGGTTGAAAAAGCTCTCCATGTCTCTTCCCTTTCTGAGGTTCGACAAATCCAAGCTTTTCGCCATAATTGAGGTGAGAAGAAGGAGCTTACTTACCCTTTTTTCCCATTTTGATTTCTTTGCCCTTTTTGTGAAATTGGGTTTCTTTATAAGTTTGTTCTGTAATTGGGTTTAATGGGTGCTTGGAGATTCTCCATTGTTATGCTCCTGGGGCCTGTGGGACTGCTTTTTCTGTCATAGCTTTTGATGGGAAGTGATGAAAATTAGGGCTGGTGAATTGACCCAGTGAACTTTTTTGCAGTTTAGAGGACTTTTTTGAGAACTTTTGTGTTGGGGAAGAAGAAACTTTTTGGATGGAGACATCATCTACGGTAGTCTTTTCTGAATTGGTAAGAGGATCTGATGAACAGAATGCTACTTTTGGAACTTGCTTGTGCTAAAATTGTTAAAGAATATGTTTGTCGCCTATCAAGTATCAACTTAATCGTTTGGATAATCTTTTGGGTCGAGTGGTAGTTTAACATTATATTAGAGTCCGATTTCAGTATCTATTCTATCTTTATGTCATTTCTTTTTCAATTAATATTGATAATCACTCGTTAGGTCGTTTTTTACTAATTTTCAAGTCGACGAGTAAAAGACATGGTAAGAGTATGCATACCGTAGATCAACTTTTAAGTTTTCCAATCGAGTTGTAGCAGCAACAAGTTTGGCATTTTTATTACTTGTTTAATTAATATTGAGAATCACTGGTGAGATGTTGTGTACTGATTTTTGAGTCAAGTAAAAGACATGGTAAGAGTAAGCATACTGTAGATCAACTTTTTAAGTTTTTCGATCGAGTTGTAGCGGCAACAAGTTTGACATTTTTCTTTCTTTTTCAGGGAATGGAGGAGAGTGGCTTTGTCAATCAATGGCACAAGAGCTCAATGGATGAGCTTGGAACGCTTCCATTAGCAGCAGCTTTTGGGGAGAATTTGCAGCATTCTTATGCTCAGGCAAATTTTGACCAGAAAGCTTCTTCAAACCATTCACACAATGCCATATTTGGGTATGTGAAACAGCTCAAAACTGATGGGTGGAGTTCATACCAAACATCTGATCATTTGCCAAACTCACAAAACATTGCTTATCCAACCGCATCTGTTTCGGCTTCCAACTGCACGAACCAAATGGACTTCACGAGGCCGAAAGAGGAAGTTGTGTGTCCTCAGAGTATCAGCAACCTCCCTTCTGATATGTTGATTTCTCAGGGCTTGTTTCGCCACCAAGGCCATATAACCAAATCCTACCATGGAACGAAGAGAACTGCTACAAACAGTAGATTTTCCCAGGCTCAAGATCACATTCTTGCAGAGCGGAAACGGCGAGAGAAGCTCAGCCAGCGGTTTATCGCTTTGTCTGCTATAGTTCCTGGCCTCAAGAAGGTAATGGATCTTTGTCACGTTGGATAATTTCTTTCTTTTGATAATAGCATCATAGGTTTTCCTCTTCCTGTCCAAGAAGTTCTATAATTTTTCTGTGGAAAGTTGGTTAATGAAGCGAAAAACTATTGAACTCTGTTATTTTCCTTGCTGCTGATAGATGGACAAGGCTTCTGTTCTTGGAGATGCCATAAAATACCTGAAACAACTACAAGAGAAAGTGAAAATACTAGAGGAACAAACCCGAAGGAAGGACATCGAATCCGTAGTATTCGTCAAGAAATCCCAAGTTTCTGCTGATGGGAACAACACATCGAACGAGGAGGATGAGCCACTTCCCGAGATCGAAGCAAGATTTTGCGACAAAAATGTCCTCATAAGAATACACTGTGAGAAAAGGAAAGATGTCATAGAGAAGACAATTGCTGAAATTGAAAAGTTGCACCTAACAATAGTCAACAGCAGCGTTATGTCATTTGGGAGTCTTGCTCTTGACATAACCATCATCGCTCAGGTATCTCCGCCCGCTACATAACCGATCTGATTACTCAGATATCTCGTGTCTCATCCTGTTTTCAGTGTCCAAAAGACAAAACTTTTAGCTTAAAATGTTACATCATAAACATATTTTTGTCCTTCAAAATGCCATGCTGTTCTTGAAACACATTCACCATTTTGCAGATGGGTAACGAATTCTCTTTAACGATAGAGGACCTCGTGAAGAAGTTGCGATCGACCTTCGGGTCGTTCCAATGAGAAGATAGAAGAAATCTTTTCAGCTCCACCTGCTGCTGAAAAGTTCCAAATAAGATTAGGAGCAGCCCTTGACCTACAGACACAAAATAAGAACAACCATATAAACTGTCCCTTTCTAAAGCCCGTATGTTTACAGGTCTGTGATGTTCCACCAAATTTAGACCAATACCCTTCAAGCAAACCAGTTGTGAGATTCACATTTCAGGTGGGTTTTTTCTTTCCTTTTTGCATGTTGAATCATGTTCTGTCACCTGCCTGTTACATTAGAAGTGATCTCACAGCTTGTTTGGAGGGTTTTTTCCCAGGAGGCTGCAAAAGGAAAAATGCAGCAAAATTCTGTGGTTTTTCCTTAGGGAAAATGGGTTTTTTAAAGTTTGTTGATCAAAACAGGCCTTTGTTTTTTCAGTTCATTATTGTTTTCTGTTTGATGTTTTAGAGGCATCCCATTGAAATGTCTTGGCCTCTTTTTTCAGTGACTTTTGTTTGTAATGCCTTGTTTGGAAGTGGTGAAATAGTTAAAAACTTTCTTTCTTTCTTCCTTACCTTTCTGTTCCTTTCTCGAGAATGCTACCAAACGGACCATAGGTTAAAAAAAGTATATATATATATAGTTTAGTTCATTGTCTTAATCATATATGATCTCCTAGAACTATTTCTATATTTTTATTTTCATTTTTTGTATTTTATTTGTAACGTATAACGTACGCGAATGCATACTGTCAGCCTACTATAGTAAGCTATTATTTATTCTAGGTTATAATACTATGATATCTTCATATAATTTGTATATAGAATTAACTAATTATATAGTTATTATATAATAATATATTTGATCACGGAGAGTCTACTTTGAAATTGTCCACTTCAATAAGGATTTTTTGACTTGTGATGCTCAATCATGAGAACTTGGAAGTATGAGTTATTGCTAATTAAAAATTTTGATTTTTCATATTCCTAAATCCCATCACAAAGATTATATTTCATTAAGATTTGCTAAGCTTTGTTTTCTCTTAACTCTCACTATCTCCTCAAGTTTGATTTATTGTTAATTAAAAATTACTATTTATTCTCAAAAGTATGCTCTTTGCAAAGTGCCCGTGCAATAACATCGATGAAATTTGAAGGTAGTGTTGATAATTTTATCTCAACAGGGTGAGAATGAATCTCAAAAAATAATAGAACTTTTTGAACCTAAAAATGTTTTTAGTACAATATTTTTATTAAAATTATTAGTTCGAATATTATTTATTCCTGTACTTCCATCTGTTGTTCATTTTGATCATTGTACATTTACAATATTCATTCTTCTGATTTATTTTAGTAACTGTACTTTCAAAACATACCTTTTGATATATGTACTTTTAAAAAGTGACAACTTTGTCCCTATTTGCAAAATTTTAAAATAAAAAATTTATACATAATGAAAATTTTTTAATACAAATTTAAAGCTACACTTCAAGAAATTTAGTGAGTAAAATGTCATGCTAAAATTTTGATCTAAATAACTGAGATAAAATTAGAATGAAAATATCAAAACGACCACTTTTTGATAAGGACTAAAACTAACATTTCAAAAGTACATGGATTAAAATGAATAAAACTTGAAAATATAGAGATTAAAATAGACGTTATGAAAGACATCATAAAAATAAACCAAATCTAAAAGTAGATTTAAACCAAAATTATTTAAATTACATTTTAATATTTACAATAAATAACATACTTTTAAATGAATATTTTATAACCGAAATGGTGTCGTGGTGTAGTTGGTTATCACGTCAGTCTAACACACTGAAGGTCTCCGGTTCGAATCCGGGCGACGCCAATTGTAACCCAAAATTTTTTTTTTCCATTTTTATCTAAAAATAAACAAACAAATTAGCCAAAAAAAATATATATCTATCCGACGTCGTTGCGAGAATTGCGGATCGTAAAACTGCGGGGCCCACAAATTTTTTCCAGAAACTTCCACACCGTACAATCCGAAACGCCCAGAAAACAATAAAAAAAAGGAAAAAAATCCTTCCAACAACGCCCACCCAATAACGTCGCTTCTTCACATCACTTCCTCGATTCCTATTGGTCCATCCCCTCCACGTCATCATCCCCCAAAATTCCCCCTTTCTATTTAATCCCAAATTTTTTATTTTTTGTGGGAAATCGAAGCTTTTGAATATCTACGAATTTTACCCGCAGGAGAAGGAGAAGGATAAATCTCTGTTTTTTTCGTTGTGTTCTTGCTTCTCTGATTATGGCTCTCCCCAGGCTGCGCTGCTTCTTCATGGCAGTTTTTCTCCTATTTTTTGCTGCTCATCGCTCTGTTCGTGCTCTGCATTCCTCTACTGATCTCAACCCCCCTTATCCTAAAGCCATCTCCGTGAGTAATTCTTCTCTGATTTTACCTTCTTTGTGTTTTTCTCGTTTAAATTTGGACGTTTGTTTGATGTGAATTTTTGAAATTTTGGGAATTTTGATTGTGGGTTGAGATTTTCTTGTTGGGGTTTTGAAGGATTTGAAGGAGGCGATTGTGAAGACGTTAGGGTTTCAGGCGGACGATTTTAAGGTCTCGGGGTTCGATCTCAGAGATGCGCAGGTCGGCCATTCGGTTGCTTATGAGTTCGATTTGGAGATTGATAACAAGGTTGTTCCGTTTAAGCTTTTGGAGGACGTCAATCGCTGGGAGTACGTAGATTTGCCCATTTTTCGAATTCAGGAGCAGTCCCCTCGACCTGGTGACGAGAATTCGTTGGTTCAGAAACGTAATCCTGGCTATGATTCGCCTGTTTTGGCTCCCTTTCAGCTCGCCGGACCTATGGAGCTCTGGATTCAGGATGCCGATGGCATGAGGGTTTCTTTGCCGGTAAGTAATTTCATTGCATTGAATGTGGTTCTGTTAATTGCTATATGTGATATGTGCCTTTGAGGATTTTAGTACTCCCATTTGTTTAGATTTTGTCTTCCTTTTAGTTATGGGTTAATGGTTGAACATGAACTGAAGCTTAGAATGCAGAACACGTATGAATTTTAACACCAATTTTTTCATTTTATTTATCTGCACATGTCTTGAGAGCTGAAGGTTGAAAGTTTTGGTTTGAAACCAGTCGAACATTTTATTTCTCTTAGGTTTAAACTTTAGACCCTACTTTTGGTCCAATCTTTTAAGTTCATTTTATTTGGACTCCTACACTAGTGAACATTCTTTTTTAACCTTAACTTTGCATAAGAAACTATCTTAGTTGGCCTTTTGTTCATTTACCTGATCACTAGACATTGTAGACAATGTTTTTTTGCTGAATTATTAATGACTAATCAATCAATGGTAAAGATTAAAATAGTTTTTATGCAAAATCTTGGACTAAAATTCAACGTCTTCAGAACAGAATGAGTATGTAATTTAGCCTTTTTGTTAGTATATACATGAGCAAGCATTTCAAAGATTAGGGGCATGTATGAGAAATCACTTTTCCCATTGTCAAAATCACTTCCCATCATGCTAAAATCACCTTCAATTGAAGGTATCACTTGGAGGGTGATTTTGGAAAATTAATTATACTTAAATCTCTTTTTTCAAAATCACTCATTCTACCCTCACTCCCAAATACATCCTAGATGTATTTGTTTATTGAGTGATTAGCAAAAAATTAATGGTGAAGATGGAAATAGTTTTTATGCAAAATTGAGGAACTGAAAGGAGGATTCTTATGAGATTTAATGACCCAAATAAGATTTAAAGCCTTTTATAGGCTTGTACTTGAAGCATATTCCTGGGCTCTGGCTGAAACTGAACTTCAATTACTTGGCATTGAATTTGCAGCATGATGTGGACGCTGGTGTGTTGAAGAAGGTTGTTTTGGCAGATGGAGCAGTTGTTACTGTAACTGGTGCTAGGTCTGTTAGCCTGCGCCACCCACTTGATCTTCCTCTCCCGCTCAACCGAACAGGGAACGGATTCGCATCTGGTCTTGTAGCCTTGGCTGAACGGCTTCGCCACATTTCCCGCACTCAAGCAACCCCACTTCTTTCCCTTCGTATCATTGGTCCTACCTCCCTTACATCATCTCCTAGCTCCAGCAACAGGCTCAAGCTCAAACGCCTTGCTCCCGGTCTCGTGGAACTCTCATCACCTTCTAAAAACATCCATGCCATTGAGTCTCCTTCCTCCGTCCATCTTCAAGGTGAGGCCCCCACCATTCTAACGCCCAAGGCATTCACAACTCTGTGGCCGATCACATCCATCAACGGCTCGAACTCGAACTTACTTGGTTTCGAGGCACTCCTCACATCCATTCTCGGCCCCAAGGCAGACAAAAAGGGCTCCTTCAAGCTGTTGAAGGCCAATGTCTCTGCCCAGACATTCGTGAAGATCGGTTTTGGCGTTGACAAGAAGGTGAAAGAAGGGGATGGGATCAACTGGGAAGGATTTCAAGAATGGAGGACTAAGCCTGAGGTTGTGAGGATGCATTTGGAGGTACTGGCGAAGGTCGATGGGGAGAGGATCATACCGGAGAGGGTGATACCCGTTAAACCAGTTATGATCGAGGACACCGCTGCACCTCACCTGCTACTGGGAAACATGACGTTGTCGAAAACTCCAACTGTTTACACCCCATCCGATCCATTCACCATTTAATTGCGATCTGTGTTTTGGTTTTGAAAAGTGTAAAGAATATACATAAAGTGGTGAGCATAGAGAAGTTTATGAATACTCCGTACAAATTATTAAAATGGGAAGTTGTATGCAATTGCAAATGCAACTCAGCTAAATTTAATCTCTTTATTCATTCTCAGTCTCTCATTGGTTGTATGAAAACATCAAACCATGTTCTAATCTTATTTGCATCTTGAAGTTGTAGGTATAGAGTTCAAATCATGCAATGGGATATTCTCTAGTATTCATTAGGGAAAAATATTTTTCAACTTTTTTTCCAGCCGCCCTCTCTTTCTTTTTCATTACAAACAAAGTGATTTCAAAAGACATTCTTTCTCTACTGCTTCATAATGATTGAATGATTGATAGGAATGGATCGTCTGGGCTTCCCTGCATCCGACCCGATCTCCAGGATCTCATTCAATAGATCCAACCCATTTTTTGGGTATCTCGAGGAGTTCGTCTCCCAATTCCTTTGCTCAACTGGCACCAAAGATCAAGAAGTCGATCTCGAAAGAAATATGGGTTACTTTTTTAATTCTCAAAGAGAAGTTGTAACTTTATACTTCTAATTTTATCAAATTGAATTCTAAATCTTTTGGGTTTTTTTTCCCTTAAATGATCTTTTTAATCCTTATGGGTTATGTTTTCAGTTTGGTTCAAAGTGGCACATTTTTAACCATGAAGATTAACAATGTAAATAAAAAATAAAAACCTTTCACAAAAGCACTAATTAATTGATTCTTCTCATAGCACTTAAAAATATTTTGTAAAGATTTTTAAGAATTTTCTGATTATATACCCAAATATTATAAAATTTTTAAAAATTACTTTTTATCACTCCAAAAACCATACCAAACTTATTTTAAGATTGATAGTTTAACTTTAGTTAGATATATAAGTTTGTTTACTCACAAGATTAGAAAATTGGCTATCCTAATTTGTTGAACTGACAAATATTTATTAGTTTAAAAAATATGTTTTAACTTTTAAAAAAGAAGAATAAAAAATCTCTTACTAAAAACAAGTACTTCATAAATTTATTCAATAAAAAATCTTTTATTTGTTAAGGTCTTCTTTCAAAATTTTTAACACTTCTGTAATTGTTTTTATTTCTCATTTCTCATTTTTCAAAAATGTCTCAAAAAAATATTTTTTATTTCATTTTTTACTTATTGAATAGATAATAATTATCAAAAAGTAAATATAACATGAAAATTTTGAAATTTTAATTTTCATATAATGGTTTTACTTTTTTTAGTGTAAAATTTTAGAGAATAAGAAACAAAAAATTGTTACCAAACATGTTTCTATTTCTTTTTTCAATAAAAAATAAAAAGAAATAACAAGAAAAGAAATACTTGCAAAATGCGATTTTATATTTATTGATTGAAAAAAAGAAAAGAGAACAATAAATGAGAATATTTGCTATTCTGTTTGTAACTTATAAAATTAAGTCTAAGCAATTCCTTTTTTCTTTTGAAATTTCTTGCACTTCAATATTTTATTTTCATTTAGGAGCTTCGCATAAAATTTCATTTTGGTTCATAAATTATATTTAATTTTTGCTGTACATCTAGTAAATTTCTTTATAGCTGTTTTATAGCACAATGTTCTGAGTCAGATGTATCAAATTTGGTTGGTATTTTAAAAAAAAATTATTTTCATATGTTTGGCTAAAAAGAACTGTGGCCAAATAATTAATTTCCCTTTA